TTTAAAAAGAGAGAGATGGAGTTTGAATTTTAGAGAGAGATGGATTTTGAGTTTTAGGGAGAGAGATGGAGTTTAAAGAGAGAGAGACGATGATGTGAGAGTGAGAGATGGAGTTTGGGTTTTAGAGAGAGATGGAGTTCTGAGAGAGAAGAAGATGTGAGAGAGAGATGGAGTTTTAGTAGAGAGAGAGAGAGACATAGAGTCATTTCATAAGTTGTTGAGATCACCAATACATGGTCAAAAAGGTTTAGAGGGTTCAAAGATAGAAAGAATTGAGTCCTTTTACTTACAAGTAATATTTTCAATTCTTGGGTCTAATGAGATATAGAAGTTAAAAATAAGGGATAATAAGATATTTTCCCTTTTATTACCCTAAACATTCTTGCAAGTTATCACACACAAGTGCCCAGATCTTCTTAAACATTCCAACAAGTATCAAACACCATTACTAACAATTCAAGAAAGATAACATTATGCTTCTAAGGAAAGAAGAACTTCAGTTTTCATATAAGGTTTACCTTCCAGCAATCAAATGCACCCAATGAGTAACATGAATTTAGAAATTGAAAATGAATAATTTATTGAAATGTAAGTAGGATGTTAAGAGCATTTTATTTTTAAACTTTCCTCTGTTTTTTTTAGAGCCTTTATTTGTAAATCTCATCAAGGTTGGGCGACAATCCAATTTTTTCTTTTTGTTTGGTAAGTTTTTAAAAATCTATTAGACAACAATGCACACACAACGCAATAAAAGAAAAAACAGGGGAAATGTATGATAGGATATCCTTTGTGCTTTTTGAAAAGAGAAAGAAAAAGGGTAACTTTAACATCTTTTAGGCAGAGAGACGCCTACTGGAGAGCAAAGCAATGGCACATCAAAAGTAGGGAGAGAAGGGGAAGCCACGGATATAGAGTTGTATTCCAAGTTCGGGTTCTTCGAGTTCACATGTTTTATAGATTGTAGTGCTTCTGTGGGTTTTGAATTGCGTCCATCCACATATATGTGGTGGATCATGGATTAGCAATCCAAATTGGCAATCTGAAAAATATTAAGAAATGAAAAAGTAAAAAAAGGATAGGGGTTTGAGGAGGTTTTATGGGACCTACAAAAATATTAGAAACATGGGGTTATAAGGGGGACCCTGCGGTCCTTATAGCTTACCAAAATTTGTCCAGTTCTGCATTATTCCATATTTGGATTGATGATTCTCGATTTGGATTAGTGGTTTTCAAAATGCTGCTATCAACAACTCAGCCAAGCAACATCTGACCCATCAACCCAGTGACTAAAAGATGATGTTTTGATAGGGCTGCAGCCTTGTAAAAATAAGTACAGCCTCACCTCAAAACTCATTAAAAATTGTAATTTTGGCGTCGCAAACCTTCAAATCGATCATCTTGGCATTGACCATTATAGTTGTGAAAAAAAAAAAAAAATTCAAGCTCTAAAAATAATGTTTATACACATTATCTAGACCGTCAATTTCAACCTAAAAATAATTGTTTGGCATGATATGAACTATTTCTTGAACTTCAAATTTCACAGTCGGTGTTTTAATTTTATAGCCACAACGGAGATTTTTCAATGCCCAAAGTGCCTTCTGAACAAAGATTAGAGGTAAGGCTTTACTTTGTTTTCAAAAAGCCTAGGCCTTGTAGAAATTGCATCCACAACAAAATAATAAGTACTATTTTATCACTTAAAAAGGCATGAGCCATAAAACAAAATCCTGCCCAAACAGCCCATCCCTTCACCAATAATCATTGCAACTACATGGTCACCCATAAACTTTAGAGATCAACTTTGCCACATGATGATAATCACTGCAAACCCTAAGATTTTTCGCAATACGTATAACATGGTCACCCTTGGTTCTCATCAACCCAAACGCAATAGCCATCTTCTCGCTATGCCAAGATAGTGCCTCCTCCTTTTCCTCCTCCTCAACATCAAGCAAAACTTGTGTCCTATTAGGCATATAACCCTCCACCCTTAGGAGCCTCTCAATTTCTTCTCACTTTTCTTGTATCTCTCTCGTTTGCGGATGTGATGCGTCTCCCACTATAAACTGATATGTCGTCCCCTCTAACTCAAACAAACTACAACCAGGGTTCTTCACCACCCCTTTTGAACTCATCAAAAGCCTCAATTTCTTAGCATCTTCATGCCTACCTGAAGCTGCATACATATTACTTACAAGCACATAAACCCCACTATCATTGGGCTCTAGCTCAATGAGGTGATTAGCAACAAGCTCAGCTAACTCAACCTCACCGTGACATCGACAACCTGCTAACAGAGGCCTGCATATTCGAGCATCGGGCTCCATAGGCATGTCCTTAATAACACATAACGCCTCTTGTAGCCGCGCACCTCTAGCTAGTAAATCAACTAGGC